ATTATAATGCCTGACTATAATAAATATACTTTGAAATATCCGCGATAACTGCACTCACTGAAAATAACTGAACTTATTATAGAAACACGACGCATTGTATCGCGTACAGATATTTTAATTTGGAAAGAATGGAATACATACATTGGAGAACTTTGTTCAAAAATCCAATCGTCATTCCTATCGATTATTGTAGGATTGATGCAGGTCGCAGATATAAATGCATCAGATCGTGATACACGTGGGAAAATTATTAAGAAGTATCTTAAATTTCTTTTCTCAATGTGTTTATCAGATGATACCATGGCCCTAGATGTATCGAGGTCTATTATTAAAATAATGCAAGAATATATTACGACGAACAATGATGACATTCTTGCCGAAGTGTCCAAATTTATCCTAATGGTTGGTAAACTCAGGAAATCAATAATTCAAACGTTAATACAGGATTTAATGGGAGTCCTGGAATCTAGTGAGCTTTTGCAAATGCCACGATCGTTTACTCTCTTGGCAAAAACTGCATTAAAAGTCCCACCTGAAAATAATACAGAAGCAGAAAATTTCCAGCAAATGATTATTGCAATAATTAAAAGTTTTGGTCAGTACGATGGGAGCACTGTTTGTAATAATCAATGGAATATTTATCTGATTGGTGTAGACGCTGGAAAATCTGGATGTTTCTCTGTCATGGCGAATATTATGCAATTTTTTGTCGCAGTTGTTGATGTAGACGCCTCAAGATATTGGCTTAGAGCTCTAATTAATATCGCAACAGCAGAAAAAGGAATGGTAATGAAAGTGGGCATAGATCAAATGTTCGATTTGCAACCAGGGCACGCAGACATTTTAGATACAATTGAAGATTCTATCCGTCGTTATGCACAAGGTGACGAAGAATTAAATGGATTTATGGCATTAATGGACATCTCCAGTCAACGATTATTTGCAAAATGGTTTTACCTTCTTCGAGTTGAGTTTTTTAAGACTATGAAATCCTTTTTGGAAAAGTTGAACCAATATATGAATCCTAGAATTAGACGTAAAAAAAAGGACATGGTTGATATTCAGGAAATGTTATTAAGAACTGCACACATGCACGATTTTGTAGCACATTCGTTCTTTGATGTCGATAAGAAAAGTTTAGAAATCTTAGAATCATACAGGATTTGCTGCCTAATATTGGTATATGCCATAAAAAGTCTTCTTACTGGAGTTGAACCAAGCCAAGAACACATTGATCCTTCCTTGATTCCATTGATTCCAATGATACGATATGTGAATGCTGATCTGAATGGCTTTACCAACTCATGGAAAGCAGGCGAGATAGATCAGCAAGAAAGATTAGCATTGTATACTCAATCCATTCAAATATTGAGGGAAATTGAACAGCATAAACTTCAAAGTGCACCATCGAATCCAGTATTAGTTGTACGTGACTTTGCACGTGCCATGTTAAAAATTCCCATGAAAATTCCACCATACTTCTTTGATAGACAACAAAGAACACGTATCCATTGGCTCGATGTCCCATATTTTAAGGGAAACAATAAACCAATTTTGGTTCAAGAAAAACTCGTTCTTAAGCTGGAAGGAATAGTGCGATCAGGTTATGAAGCTGTATCAAAAAAATTGAAAAGCATTGAAATGATCATCTTTGGATCAAATATCGATTTCTTTGAGAAATCGAATCCTGAGAATTCTTTATTAAATAATTTAAAATTTTCAGACGTAGCGTTAAATTATAGAGAGTTTGCCACAAAAAACGCTGATTCATTACAAACTTCTTCGGCCGTTGTTTGTAGTGTGGAGATCAACAATAATTTTTTTACAGCTTCGGTTATCTTTCCGTTTCCATTAGGTAAAGATGGTTTTAGATTTATAAATGTTCATACCAGAGTTGTTGACGATCAATCTGTCATGTGGACGATCGGACCTGACTTGAGAATAGCGGCTCCTCTTGTTAATAATATACAACAGTATGACTGAATAGTAGAATTAGTTTGATTAAAGTTTACAGTGGTTATAGAATTACAATTTGTTGGCGTTTATAAGAAATTTTTTTAATTTGTTATATCAATTTTAATAAAACTATTTCTTTTTTATTGATAAAAAATTTGGAGATGTCCCAGGTTTTCTATGTGCTTTGAGGACCGCTAAGAATAAGTTGTTTTTTGATCCAATAAAGAATTTTTTTTCAACGTGTTACATAACTTTTTGCGCTATATTATAGTACACTATAGTATACTATTAACTTTACCGGCATGGCTCAATACATTCAATAATCTTAAATACCAAAAAACCATTGTTGGTTTATTTAAGATTTTTACATTTACGTTGTATACAATTCAGATTTTTCATCGATTTATCACTACCAGACAATCGAGCATAATTAATATAAAAAAAATTTTTTT